GTCTCTATCCTCTTTGTTGTGAAAGGCTTTTCTTCTGAGATAAAGGAGCTTGCATTGTGTATCTCAGGTGAGTTGGTTTTGTGATCTGAGTGGTTGGATTGGTCAGTAGGGCTTAAAGTCTCTGATAAGACTGCACGCTTATCATGTGGGTAAGGTGTATGACTTGGGTAACTGGCTTTATCGGAGGGTTTTACGGAACTTTTATCATTTTCCTCAAGTGAACTGGGTGTATGGCCTGAGTCTTTGGGTTGGTCTGAGGGTTTGGTAGACTCAGATAAATCTACATGCATATTATGTGCTGATGGTGTATAACCTGAATGACTGGCATTGTCATAGGTCCTTGAAGGTTCATTTATGTCATATGATTTAGTTGAGTTTTCTGAATCACTAGGTTGGTCAAAATCTCTTGAAGAATCAGATGAATTTAAATAAATTTCATGTGAGTTGAATTTGTGCTTAGAGTCACTGGGCTGGTCAAAGGCTCTAGACAGGTCAACAATTGTGGCATTAGTGTTTATGGATTCATCCTCTATTGGGCCTCTGTTGTTTATCCTTCGAGAGGGTAGAAAATTCATAATATTTACTGTATCCTCAATACTACTAGGAGTTGACAAATGAGTGTCATGATGGTTGGAATAATCATGGTGAGGCATTCTTTCAATACCAGGGACTATCTGGATGTCACTTGACATTGACATAGATGTATTGATGTTTTGGAGAGGTTCTGGCAGCAGTATTGTAGAATTATGCTGCCCTAGAGACTTGTTTTCACTTTGACTTTTGACATATCTGACTGGCTCTCTTTCAGAGGTCTCGTGGCCATGGATCTGGGCCAACAACCAGCCTATGAGAAAGAACACTTTCACTTTGTATTTCATGATTTGTAGATTAATATCAACAGTTGCAGTAATTCTGATAACCTGTTACAGTTTTATAGATAGTCACAGTGCACCTTGTTAATATTTCACTTCACTTCACAGTTATCACCAAATGTTTAAAAAGTGATATAAATGTGTGACCTTCTCATATGTCTGATGTCCTGAGGATGTCCTCTCTGTTAGTCCTCTCTGGCCTTAAGTCAGGAAATGATGTCATAAGTTAGTCATAGAACCTTTGTTCATGGTGATCTAACTGTAATTCTAAAGACTTCTCATTATGAGAATAGTCTTTTGAATTATTAAATAAAAAAATAGAAAAGGTTGTATATGTATTGGTATGATGGAGGATTTAAAAGAGTTGCTTGTTTTTCCCCTTTTACTTTTTGATCTTGAAACTAGTTACTTGAAACTTGTCTGTGCCTGATACCCAAAATGTTGAACATTCTCAGAACTGTAGGATGTTCTTGAAAGAAGGGAAATCTTCAATTTCTGTATTGCATTCATTTTTGGTTTCTTCATGAATGATGCTATCTAGTATTCTTAATAATGCTATGTAGTTGATTAGGTGACTGATGGAATCATGTTACAAACTTATATTTTATTATCTGCCTTTTTTGTTTAGTTAAGTATCTGAACTATTTACAAGTGAATTAATAAGGATTATGAATAACTGAACACTGATGACAAGAATATTTGTGTTTTATCATGTGATTGAATATCTTCTCTATTTAATTTAAAGATATATGGCATTTACAGATCATGTTAAACTGAACTGTTAACAGACTAATAGACATATTAGTACTTTATTGTCTTATTATTTGTACATTATTGCCTCACTGCACTAGGGTAGGTATCTTTTGGCTTGCATTTAGTCTAACTACTCTTGTTGTTGAACAAATTTGGTAAACATTATCAGGGAAAACATCAAAGAAAGTTGTGTAACAAAAGCAAAATAACTGATCAGATGTAAATGGTATTTTCATTGATTCTTAGAAATTAGATATTCGAAATAACTGTAACATATATATCATACAGATTTATTACATGGATATATTTTCATTTTCATTGAAGACAAGAATTGACAGTTGATGACATGTAGTATTGGCACCTCAGAGGAAGCTGAGGTGCCAGTTTTTTTTTTTTTTTTTTTCTCTTAAAGATAATTATGGTGTTTAAATATAAGACTTTGCATATTAGTGTTTAAAAGAGCCTAGTTGTGAACAGTTTGATATTTTATATTCTTGCTTAAGATATTGGGCAGTTGAGAAGCTGAAGCTGAAATCTTAATGATGAATGTTTAAAAGTTAGCCCAATTTGTCTCCTCATACTACTCCTTTTAAGTAAATACTATGTCAATGACAGTTATTCATATTGTACAAGGCTGTAAAGGAAAGTTAAACACTATATCCTACATTTAATTTGCTTTACCTTGGATTAGTATGAAAGAAGTGGAGAGGGAGGAGGGGAGAAAGGGAAGAAGAGAGAGGGAGGGAGGAAGGGAAGGAGAGTCAGGGAGAGAGAGAGGGAGGAAGGGAAGGAGAGAGAGGGAGGGAGGAAGGAAGGAAGACAGGAGAGAAGGAGGGAGAAGAGAAAGAGAGAGATGGAGGAGGAAGGGAGGGAGGAAGGAAGAGAGAGAGGAACGAGGAGGGAGGAAGGAAGGGAGAGGGAGGGAGGAAGGGAAGGTGAAAGAGGGAGGGAGGGAGGGAGAGGGATATAGGGGAATTCGCCATTGTATGTGGAAGTGAATATTATCATGTAAATCATGTTTGATGTATTTTCTCAAAGCACTAGAAGTACATTAAAGGACAGAAAATAAAGATAACCTTTAAATATTTTTTTTTCATGCCATCATTTTATTGACAATAATTCTTTTAAAAATCATAACATGAATTTTTGTAATTGAGATGGTACAAACATCCTTAGATGTTCCAATTTATATTAGTTCTATGTTAAACAAATTTCAGAAGAAAAAAAAAAATTGCTCCAAAATATTCTAGCACCTCCCAAATTTCTCCACAGTTGTCACTCAAATGAGAGGCTGTTTCTGCGGGATTTTGTGTCCTGCGCAGGAGGGACGAGTGGAGGGCGCTTGGCGAGGTGGCTGCAACCTGACTCTTATGTTGACGTTCGGGCGTGTGAGGTTCTCTACAGCCGCGATGACATGCGTGCAGGCTGGCCAGCTATTGTCACCATCCTCACCAGGGACCAATATAGTGAGGTGGTCCATGTTCCTTCACTCAAGGTCAGTTTGGAGGTTATGTCAGACAGGAGTGATATTTGTGATTTTGATTATTTTCATTAAATCCAGAGCTTTGTTTGGGCAAGACTATAAGATGGAATTCAGGTTCTGATTCATTCAGAATTGTTATTGGTCATAACATGTTATATGGACATGGAAAATCTTTGATTCTCGTTGGACTTACATGTCTTATAAAAAGTATGATCGAAGTAGTGAAAAAAGCATTAGTGAAACCTTAAAAAACAATATTGTGGAAAAGTTACATTGTAATTCATCTATTTCAGGTTGAAGTTGTGGCAGTTCCTGTGAGCACAGGGGAGGAAGGTGGCCAGGGGAAGCTCCGAAGAATAAGTCAGCATGTCCCTGATAATATGACCTTTGGTGGACACCCTCAGCCCTCACTGGATGTGCCATATCAAGTATCCATCAAGGACAAGATGTGTTATTGTGCAATTACAATGATAAAGGTACAGCCTGCATGCTGTTCAAGAGCCTTAGTTAGATTTGACAAGAATGGCTTTTGCATTATCAAATAAGTCTTATAACCTTTCACCAAGGACCATCTTAATGTTTAGTGTTTGAGCTGTAAAAACAATTTACCTTTCTTCTGCAGGCCTATGAAAACTATTCCTTTGAAGAGCTCCGTTATATGTCCCCTGCTATGCGGAGACCAACAGAAAACATGTTAGTGCGAAGTAATAATGATGGCACATACTCCTGCAACTGGACACCAGGAGCTACAGGATGGTATTCTCTTCATGTGACTATTGATGGATATCAGTTAGAAGAGGTTTGTTCCAGTGTCCTACCAAGTTTCTCCTATGTGTCTTTCTTTCTCTTATTTGACTTTAAGCTCATTTTCATGGATCTCTTCTCATCTTGCCCCTATTCTTTTCTCTTTACCACTATCCTCTCATGATAGTTTACAAAAATGTTATTTACTGAAGATATTCTTGGTCTTTGACCATACTTGGGATGTTTGACTTTACTGTTTTTTGTTTTTGTTTTTGTTTTGTAATGCTTGACTGTTTTGACTATTTTTGATCATGTTATTTGACCGTAACTACATGTTTTTCATCTCTTAGACTTTCAAGATGGAAGTCAAGGAGCCACCACAAGGTGTTACTCCACCAGTCCAGAGCACCATCAGGAGGTCATCACAGCAGCCTTCCCGACTAAGAAAGTTTGTGCTGCAGAACAGTGCTGGCCTGAGAATACGCACTCACCCATCTTTGCAAAGTGAACAGATTGGGGTTGTTCACGTCAATGGAACAATAGCCTTTGTGGATGAGGTTTGTATTATGCTTGTATCAGCAGATGTACTTTTATTTTATATTTTATAGGTGAGAAGAAATGTAAGCTTTATGAAAAAAAATAGCATTGCTTTGGATATTGTAATTGTTTTCCATGTATATTATTATTTTTTATGACTGTAAATAACTAGATAGAAATGCAGTGGCATCACTTTCATTAATATATTCATCTTCTTTGATATTGTACCCAAAATGAATTCACAGGTCCACAACAGTGATGGGGTGTGGCTCCGCCTAAGCCCAGAGAGCATCAGGCAGTACTGCACCAATGGTTACTCAGAGGCTTGGTGTCTGCAATATAACCAACACCTCGGGAAGACTCTCCTTGTTCCACTGGATCACCCAAAGACAATTCTGGATCAGGTAGATTTATCTTTTTGGGGGTTCAATAAGCAACTGCAAGACTAAATGCTGTAAAAGTTGAATAGGCTTGATGTCAAGGTAGATTTTTTTTTCATATCAGAATCAAGAGACAATGTTTTTATTTAATTTTCTTCAGTATTGAACTGTTGTGAAGCAAAAGGAATCTCCACTAACAGTATTGTCTGAACAGATCATTATATTTAACCCATTATCCACAGTATTAAAAATAGGCTCATGACCAGCAATGCAGGGTTGTTAGCCGGTATTGGCAGTTTCCCCTGTTTACACCTGGCTCATTCAATAATTCAGGAACAATATTTGGCACCAAATAGCTAGTAGTTCAGTTTCATAAACTGAATTTTTAAAATATTTTAAGTGTTTGCATCCAATAATGAGACAAAACAAAAGATGTCACTACTAGTGGAGAAAGGTGAGCTCCATCTGATGAGCCATTGGCACAGAGTATGTCATTATGTTGTGCCACCTTCGATTTAGGCCCTGTTTTGCCTTGGCATTACACTTGATGCTAACCGTGAACAAAGAGTTAACCAGTAATCTTAAAAAGCTCAAATTAGTTATTAATCAACAGGTGATTACTGACACCATAAGCCGCCGCCGGGATCTTAGCCCACGTCGAGAGACATCCCTGGGCATAGAGGGCAGTGAGGGGGTCAGTGGGGGTGCAGGAGTATACACAGTTGTCAAGTGTGGAGCCTCAGGACACAATATCCGCAGTCAGCCTAGCCTCAAAGCACCCCCTGTGGGAATGCTTGTCCTAGGGAACTCTGTCACCGCTGATTGTGATGTGAAGAATGGCGATGGTGAGTTTTATGTTCTTGTATTGGAAGAAGGTATTTATTTATGCATATTTTCTTCCCTTTTTTAGATTATGTTAATGCTATAGGATAGATGGTAATATTGCTTTGTTGGTAATACTCCCATGTGCCTTTGGTTTGTGTACATGATGGTACTTATGCTGTTCAGGTTCTATAAGAATATATATAGATATAGATATGTAGATATATGTTTAAACAGAATTTCTTAACAACTACTTCTTGTTAAAAGTTTAAGAGCCAGATACTACCACCTGTCCCAGATAACCTCCCTCATTTAAAAAGGTATGCTACCCAATTGATATTAATAGAGATAATTGTGTAAATAATTTGTAGATAGAAACCACAAGAAAACGTTTATAACAACCTCTCTTTTCGCTTCTTTTCTCTGAAGCAGGAACTGTTTAGTTCAGTAATTTAAAAAATATTAAACCATTTCTAGATAAATTCAAGAAATGCTTTAGAAGTCTTAGGTATAAACATATTTTTAAATAACTTTCTGTGCATTGTTTTGGATATTAAAGAACATAGATGTCAAAAACACCTATAAGGCATGTGTGTTTAATGCCTTTATTATTTGTTTTTCCATCCCTGTCTTAAAAGTAGTGTGGAGGATTACATATTTTTTATTTGCCAATAATAAGGTAATAGGAAAAAATGGGTAGTATAAAGTGCAAGAAATATATATATATACTTCTGGAAAGTAAGGGCATCTCATCTGTTAAGAGGTAGTGGGAGATAAATTGCTGAGAACCTTTCGTATGTATTACAATTAGGATATTAATGGATAAAAGAATATATTTATTGATTAAGGCTAGGCATTTGTTAGAACATTAGATCTGTAGGCAATGGAAAAGTTAAAGGGGAAAATGATATGCACCTCCAAGGACACCTACAGGGACAGTATAAGGCTGCACTATTTCTGACGACAGAAAGAAGAATCTTAATTTTACAATTTGCCCAAAATATGCATCATAATTAAGCAACCTTAACAGAAAGGCTAGAGGCCAAAAGTGATAAATGATTCAGTCCTTGACTGAGCACAAGCCCATAACTATCACAGATTTTAGATTACTGATTATACAAAATGTAACTTAGTGCCCAAAGTGGCAGATTATTAGAGAAAGAAGTCTTGCAGTTACAGTTGCTGTCTCTAACTTAGAAGAGAAGAAAATGATAAATTTATACTATTTCTTTGAATCAAAGACACGTAAGTAAGAATTAAACTCGGTACCATACTAACGACTGTTAGAGGAAGAGCTAATGTTTCTGCATGATCTCATTTATTGCACTTAGCCAGAGCACAAGCTCTTCAATTTATAGGTAAGCTTTGCTACAGAATTTCCAAGGTTGGTAGTTTTACTCACCATTAATTCATGAACACATTTGTTATAGATAATGGCTTTAACATCAAACAATTCTGCGTCATTAGCTTATTACATTAATTGTCTGAGATGTATGTATAGTAATACAGTATAGAAAATGGTCTAGAATTAAATGAAGAAAAATGAATGCAAATAGTAAAGAGCCCTGGCCAGATGATTACCAGAGAACTAATGACAGGATTGAAAAATCTTGCTTAGATTATTGTCAGACCTTAAAAAGCACCATCATGCTGTGAATTAAGTCACTTGATTTTGCTTAGCACATGCATAGATGACTGAAATTGCTTTTAGTATCATGTGCACAGATTTTCTGATCTTTTTCAATATTGATATTATCTCTCATTCTCTCCTTCTATCTTTTCCTTCTTTCTTTGTTTTCAGAAAGTGTGTATAATTTTTGTAATTAACTTTTTCTTGTTTATTATATATGGATAATGTTGATATGCTGAACACCATCCTGAAAATAACAGGAAGGTTGTACATCATTTAAATGTATTTCTCTTTTTAAGATGATAATAATGAGAGTAACATTTTGTTATTCCTTTCTATATTTGTAACAGTTATAGGAAAATACCAAAAATTTCAGGAAATTCCACATATTCTTTCTTATTATTTTCTTATATTATTAATTTAATTTTTTATGCATTCATTTATTTCTGCTGCCATTATTGTACTTCATTATTCAGTCTACTTTGTCTCTTTCATTTACTTTGTCATTCAGTTACTGCAGTCCAATTTTCTCTCCACACCTTCAGAGAGCCTTGTGGAATCATCTGCTGTTTTCTGCACGTCTCATTTCCTCTGTCTCTCTGATCTTCCATTCATCTGTCTCTTTTGCTTTTACTAACATCTGATATTGCATTATTATTTGTTTCTTCTCCTAGTCTGCTTTTCCTTCTTGTGAGTCTGCATTCCCAATTTATTTTATTTATTTCTCTCTTAGGTTTTTCATTCATCTTTCACTTGAGAATCAAATATGTATGTGTGAATAAATCTGTTACCCCATAATGGTTAATGTATGATTTGTTTTCTGTTACTTCATGCAGCTTTTCTAAAGGCTGTGCATTCCTTGATCATAATCTTTCTTGATACAAAAAGAAAAAGTATAATCCCCCCCAAAAAAATATTTGGCCTATATTATATGTTTTTTTAGTATTCAGCGCTTTATAAAGTAAAAGCAATGATATGAAGAGGATTTTTCCCTCCAGATACTCTTTGTTTTGAGCTATTGTTGCATTTTTGTTCTTTAATACCTATTATATATATATTTCTCTTCACTTTTCTCTTTTTTTTTCGTTTTCTTTTTCCTGTAATAATAATAAATCAAAAGATTTCTGTTTGTCATAGACTCATGGCTTGTCATTTGTAATCTGCTTGTTCATTATTGAAAGGTTGTACATTGACTTGATAATGTATTATGTTGTATTTGCTACAGCACAAATGTAGTAATTTTATGTACATTAGTTGTTTTCCTAAATATGCAATGTCTGTGAGCCCAAATACCCATTTTGCCAAATAGAAACCTTTTCATTTTTTCTATAATCTGTCCAAATCATTCAGATTTTAGCCTTCTGATGTGATTTTGCTAGTTGTTAAGGATCCGTCTGAACATGTACTTAAACCTTCCTGCGGGAGGCATGGGGACATCCGTGGTATTAACAAGTGTGCGTATCCCCTCCCAATCCCTCTCAGGCACTTGGGTTCGTTTGGATTCAGAGAGCACACGCAAGTATTGCTTCACTGATGGGGAGGCTTGGTCTCTGGCAATGTCCCGACGGCACACTCTTCTACCCACGTTCCCATAGTC